GGTCAATGTCATGAGACAAAGTATATGTAAACTGCTGTATGGAAAGTGAATTTGCTCTGTAAATCTTCAGCCAAATCACAAAAAAAAAAAAAAAATGTATCTTTATAACAGAGAAGTTTTCAGAGCAATGAAAGTTCACAAATTTTACTACATCTATTTGCTCACTGTGAGATTTGATCTGTTATCCGGAAATAAAGAAGATAATATTGTTTTGCTTTGAGGATTAAAAATACTTGACATGCCTGGTGCAGAATATAGACTTTCGATAAATAGTAGGCATTGTGTAAGTTTTTATTTTCATCTTTTTCTATCTTTTTCTTTTTTTCTGTGTGTGAGATACAGATTCAACTTAAATTTCCCCCCAAGATGACTATTCAGTTATTTCACAACACTTATTGAATAATTTCAGTGTCCACTGATTGATACCACATGTATTTTGTATTAAATTTCTGGATATATTAGTTTTATTTCTGGGCTTTTTCTTTATTGATCTGTCTGTGTCTTGATACAAAAGTACCACACTGTCTAAATTATGAAAGCTTAATAACATATTTTAATGTCTGGGAGAGTTAGTCTTCTCTTTCTACTCCTTCAGAATTTTTCTAATAGTTCCTGATTGTTTATTTTTACATAAAAATTTCAAAATCAATTTCTCTAGTTTGTCTCCAAAAATGTTGGTATTTTATATCAGAATGACATTAAATTTACAGACTAGTTTAGGAAAAACTGACATTTTTATGATGTTGAGTCTTCCTATCTAAGAAGACACACCTTTTTGTTGTTGTTGTTCAAATGTTCTTCTGTGTCCCTTAGAAGGATTGCTGGATTATATGCTAATTTCTATTTCTAGCTTTTTGAGGGAGCACCATACCATTTTTCACAGTGGTTGCACCTAAATGTTACAGTTCCCACAGCAGTGTATGAAGGTTCCAATCTCTCCACACTTTCACAGACATTTGTTTTCTGGCTTTTTGAACTTTGCTATTAGCACTGGAATGAGCTAATATCTCATAGTTGTTTTCATTTGCATCTCTCTAGTGCCTAAGACATTTGACCAGAAGGCTGGTGGTTCAAACCCACCAGCCACTCCTGGAAAGAAAGTTTGGGCAATCTACTTCCGTAGTGATACTGCCTCAGAAACCCAAGGAAGGGTTGCTAGGAGTTTGATCCGACTCCACAGCAGTGAGTTTGCTATTGGTTTTTGGAATGGCTAACAGTCATGAGCATTTCTTCATGTGTTTATTAGCTGCCTTAATGTCTTTTTTTTGCTGAAGTATCTGTTCAAATCCTCTACCTATTTGTTAATTGGATTGTTTGTCTTTTTGTTGTTAAGGTGTTGAACTTTTCTATAAATTTTAGAGATCAGCCTCTTGGCCAATATGTTGTCGCTAAAATATTTTTCCCAGTCTGTGGGTTCTCTTTTTACTCTCTTGGTGAAATCTTTGCATATAATGATGCTGCAAAAAGGGCAAGGAGGCCACATCTTCTGACCTCCTCTAACACCATAAGAGGAAAATAGAAACACCATCAGAAACCCAAGACCTATTCCTGCAAGGCTAGACATGCTGCCTCCCTCCAGCCCTTTCACCAACTGTTCCTCCCAAAGCACCCACCACCTCTCTCCTGGGTTTGATAATTCACTGCAGTGGCCACACAGAACTCACAGATTATGGGGTTTATTAGGGAATTACCAAGCTACAATTCAAGTTCAGGAAAAACACTCAGTCTCTCTCCCAGTTCACCATCTCTCAGCCAACAGTCTCTCTTCCAGCAGTGTATGTCCCTTGGTGTCTCACTCAGCAATGCGTATTTCTTGCATCTCTTTCCCAGCAGCGCATGTCTCTCAGGAGCGCATGTCTTTTCAGCAACAGTCTCCCTCAACCAGCGGTCAGAGAGACCTCTGCCTCTAGGAGGCCTCCTTTTGAGCCTAGCAGAGTGGCCAATCTAGCCAATCGTAACATCAGAATTCTAAGCACCTGAGAGGGAGCGGGACCCTTCCAGAACATTGTTTTGTGTCACACCCAACAGAAATACCCCAGGTGGACAACTTTAGTAATCAAGAGCTCCTCAGCTGCTCATGGCAAATTCCACCTCCGAGTTTACAAAGACTTATGGGTAGAAAAGCCACACTAAGTAATTTACTACACTGCAGATGCACATAAGTGTCTCATTTTTAGGAGGTCCTATTGCTGTTGTTATATGTCATGGAGTTGGACCTGACTCATAGCGACCCTTCCTTGGGTTTCTGAGGCAGTTCCACTACGGAAGTAGATTGCCCAACCTTCCTTCCGAGGAGTGACTCATGGATTTGAACCACTAGGCTTCTGGTTATCAGTCAAGTGCCTTAGGCACTATGCTGCCAGAGTCCTAGTCATCTTTTTTTGTCTTCTCGTGTTTGTGCATTTTTAATCATATTCTATAGTATTTATCCCGGGAGCTCTGGTAGCGTAGTGCCTAAGGCACTTGACTGCTAACCAGAAGGCTGGCGGTTCAAATCCACCAGCCACTCCTGGGAAGGAAGATGGGGCAATCTACTTCCGTAGTGATACTGCCTCGGAAACCCAAGGAGGGGTCGCTATGAGTCAGGCCGACTTGACAGCACATAACAACAACAACAACAACAGTATTTATCCCTGTTTCTCTTGATGGCTTTTATGATTTTGGGTTTTATGTTCAGATCTTTGATCTAACTTGAATTCATTTTTGTATATAGTATGAGATGGGTCCTATTTCATTTTTCTGCACAAGGATATCCAGTTTTGCCAACACCATTTACTAAATAGACTATCTCTTCCTCACTTAATGAGTTTGTCCCTTTGTCAAAAATCAGCTGTCCATATGTGGATGGTTTACTTCTAGGTTCTTACTTCTTTTCCATTCCATTGGTCTATGTGTCTGTCATTGTGCCACCACCAGGCTGTTTTAACTACTGTGGCTATGTAATAGAATTTGGTATCTGGAAGTGTGAGTTCTCCTCCTTTGTTCTTCTTCTTTAGAAGTATTTTACTACGTTTTTCTTCTTAGTTGTGTTGCTAAACCTATGCTATACCAACTTATAGGATTAATTTAAATATTTTTTTTTCATTTAGACTGCAATTTCAGACAATTTAGTAACTCACCTCCCAATATACCTTCAAACCCTCAATGAAAAGAAATGCATTACAAAATTCTGAATATATAGTATGCTGAAAAAGCTGTTTCGGTTTGTCCCATTGCTCTATGTACCCAAAAAAAGGAATATGGAGAAAAAGAAAAGAACTCACACAATCCAGTTTTGATTCTTATTAGCAATTGTGTCAAAATGTTTGACAAATGAAGAGTAAAATCTTATCATTAGAAAGCAATCAGCTATGTATTTGATTAATGAGTTTATTTGAGGGGAGTTCAGGGGTGGGAAGAATGAAGTTCTATAACTTTATCTTCAACTATGTGTAAGCTTAATCTTAATATTTATATTTCCTTGTAGATTCCCTCTGCAATAAAAACGACACCAGATGCCTCTCAAATTCTTGTGAAAACAATTCTACATGCATTGGTTTTTCAAAAGACAACAATTGCCATTGTTCAAATACAACCAATAATTTGGACAAAGACTGTAACAACCTAGAAGATCCTTGCTTCTCTAATCCCTGTCAGCAAAATGCCTCTTGTGTGAATACCATAGGAGAAATGGGCTTTCTGTGCAAATGTCCTCCTGGCTATGGTGGTGTGACCTGTGAAACTACTATTGCTTCCTGTGGCACAAACTTCTGCCAACACGGCGGTGTTTGCCATCATGACCCTTTTCATCCTGTCTGTATCTGCCCTGCTGGGTATGCTGGAAGCTTCTGTGAGATGGATCATGATGAATGTGCTTCCAGCCCTTGCCACAATGGAGCCATGTGTCAAGATGGAATCAATGGCTATTCCTGCTTCTGTGTCCCTGGATATCAAGGTAGCCATTGTGACTTGGAAGTGGATGAATGTGTTTCAGATCCCTGTAAGAATGAGGCTGTGTGCCTCAATGAGATAGGAAGATACACTTGTGTCTGTCCCCAAGATTATACTGGTAAGTGTGATTACATCTCAATCCTTGATGACACACTTTTCTCTTTCTTTGATATGGAAGCAGCAGAGGTAACATTTTATGTCTCATCCAATTGCTTATTAAAATAGCCAATGTCTTGACAGGAATTAGTAACTAGATAGAAAGCTTCCAAAACTACTAAAAATTAATTGAGCTTTGAGTGTTTGTTTACTGTTGCTATTTTTAATAGAGCTCTATCTGATTTAAGACTTAGATTCAATCTATCATGGGTGGGCCTGATGAACCACTTGCTGTGGAAGTTACTCTGACACATGATGACCCAATGGTAGTAGGATTGTGGTTTAGTTTCAGAAGGAGATCAACAGGCCTTCCTTTCAAAGCATCTTGGGTGGACTCAAACCTCCAAAGTTTCATGTAGCAGTCAAGCACATTGACTGTTTGTATCACTCAGTGCCCAGACTAAGGAAAAAGGACCTAGCAATCTACTTGGAAGAAAAAAAAAAATAGCCAGTGAAAACTTTATTATTATTATTATTATCTGATATAGTGTCTGGGCATAGCTCCTCAGGTTGGAGGGCACTCAAAATACAACTGGGAAAGAGCTACCTCCTTAAGTAGAGTCTACCTTAATGATTTGGATAGAGTAAAACTTTAAAGACCTTCTTCTGCTGATGTGGCATGATTTGACATGAGAAGAAACAGTTGCAAATATCCATGAGGTGTCAGAATGTGAGATGTATGAAGTATATGACTCTAGGGAAATTGGAAGTTGTTAAAAATGAAATGGAAGGCTTGAAGATTAGTATCTTAGGCAATAGTGAGGTGAAATGGACTGTTATCAGCCATTTTGAATTGTAAAATCCTATCATCCAATATGCCAGGAATAAATAATTGAAGAGGTAAATTGTTGCACTCATAGTCAAAAAGAGCTTTTCAAGATCTATCCTAAAGTACAACATTGTCAGTTACAACACAATGTCCATACACATGTAAGGAAGACCATTAATACAACTAATACCCAAATTATTCATCAATGCTTAGTGACAAAGGTAAGGAAATTGATTTTTACAAACTTCTGCAGTATGATTTTAATCAAATATCCAATCAAGATGCGTTCATAACTACTGGTAATTGGAATGTGAAGGTGGAGGCAAGGAATGATTGACAATTGAAAAATATGGCCTTGGTGACAGAAACAAAGCAGAGATTGCATGATAGAATTTGGCAAGATCAACAAGTTATTAATTGCAAATACTTTTTTTTTTCAACACATATGGCAACTCTACACATGGACCTCACCAGATGGAATACACAGAAATTAAATAGACTATATCTGTGAAAAGAGACAATAGAGAAGCTGGATGTCATCAGTTAGAACAAGGCCAGGGGCTGACTGCAGAATAGATCATCAACTGCTCATGTGCAAGTTCAAGCTGAAGCTGAAGAAAATTGAAACAAGTTCATAATAGACAAAGTATGAACATGAGTATGTCTCACCTGAAATTAGAAACCATCTCAACAACAGATTTGATGAACAGAACATTAATGACCAAATTCCAGAAGGGTTGTGGGATGACATCAAGGACAGCACACTTGAAGAAAACAAAAAGTAATTTAAAAGACAGGAAAGAAAAAAAAAAAGCCAAAATGTCTGTCAGAAGAGACTCTGAAACTTGCTCTTGAATGTAGAATAGCTAAAGTGAACAGAAGAAACAATGAAGTAAAAGAGCATAACTGAAGACAAAATAAAATATTATAATGGAATGGACAAAGATATGGCATTAGAAAATCAAAAGGAAATAATATGCTTGGCATTTCTCAAGCTGAAAAAACTGAAGAAAAATTCAAGCCTTGAGTTGCAATATTGAAAGCTTCTGTGAGCAAAAACTTGAACAATGAAGGAAGCACCAAAAGAAGATGGAAGGAATATACAGCCACCATACCACCACCACCCCCCCCAAAAAAAATGTCAGCATTCAACTATTTCAGGAGATAGCATATAATCAAGATCTGATGCTACTGAGGGAAGAAGTCCAAGTGACACTGAAGGCATTGGTGAAAAATAAGGCCCCAGGAATATCAATGGAGATGCTTTAACTAATACATGCAGCGTTGAAAGTGCTCACTTGTCTATGCCATGAAATTTGGAAGTCAGCCACTTGGCCAATGGACTGGAAGATATTCATATTCATACCCATTCCAAAGAAAGATGACCCAATGGAATGCAAAAATTGTAATCACATGCAAGTAAAATTTTGGTGACGATAATTCAAAACTGATTGCAGTAGTACATTGACAGGGAACTGCTGGAAATTTAAACCAGATTCAGAAGAGGATGTGGAATGAAGGATATCATTGCTGATGTCAGATGTATTTTGGCTGAAAGCAGAGAATACTACAAAGATATTTACCTGTGTTTTATTCACTATGCAAAGCCATTTGAATGTGTGGATCATAACAAATTACGGATAACATTGTAAATAATGGAAATTCCAGAACAACTAGTTTTGCTCATGTAGAATCTGGTACCTATATGTTCATGTCTCCATGAACTGAAGTGTTAGTTGGTGGAGGACAGGAGTTGTATATTATATTTATTCTTTATTAGTATATTTTGAGTGTCTATTAATGCATCAGTCAGTGGAGTAAAAGAGGAGGCACTGTTCTTAGTGCTTGACGTAGTGTCTGTGAATAATGACTGCTAAATGAACTGCTACCAAATTGTTCTCATTCTCTAAATTCTTACATATATTAATTGGCACACTTCCTAATAATGAAATTGAGGTAAATAGATATTAAACTAGAGTTTACCTTCTCTATTACTTAATAATGATTGATGCTAAAAGTAATGGAGAATATTAAAGGAGTTTACAAAACAGTCATTACAAAATGAAAAGTTTCTTAGTTATATGCCATACTATCATGTCCATTCTCTTTAATTAAATTGTGTTATGGCAATCAAACATCAAAAATATTTGTTTTTGAATAAAAATAAGAAATTACTTTTGTGAGACTGCTTTGAGATTACTTTTATTTGGCCACATTAAAAAATCAGCTCTACTGGTGTAGTGCCTAAGGCACTTGAGTGCTAACCAGAAGGTTGATGGTTCAAACTCACCAGCCGCTCCATGGAAGAAAGATGGACAATCTACTTCCATAAGGATTTGCTGCCTGAGAAACTCAACAGAGGTCTCTATGAGTTAGAATTGACTCAATGGCAGTTGGTTTTTTCTTTATAGTTTATGAAGATATTATTTTCTATTCCCTGCTGGAACAATATTATGAATAGTGACCAAAAGAAATTGACATGAGATGAAATTAATGTTTCATCCATTTTAACTTCCAGTATTCAGGAAGATACTTACAAGCACAGGAACACAGCTTGAAAAATTATGTTTGACAAATGTGTGTGTGTGTGTGTGCGTGTGTGTGTGTTGTTTGTTTTGGTTTTTCTCTTTAAACATTTTAATTTCATTAGATTTAATGAATCCTTCAGTAGTTTAAATTTAGGCATAAAAAATGGCAAATGTGAAATGTAGTAAAATTCTATCATAAAGCACTTCACTGCACAATGAATTCATTTATACTGTGAATTATATCATAGCCCTGCTGGATCCAATGAAATTTGTGCCCTTTTCTCAACATAATACTCAAAGTCCACAGTGAGGATGCTTAAGGTTTTTCCTTGCTAAATGGTATAGTTCCCTATTTTATTATGTTCTTTTCTTGCTTTCTAAAATATTAGCTAAAATTTATTACTTTAAGTTTTCAAGTCATCAACTTATATCTATGTATCTATGTATCTATGTATCTATCTATCTACCTATCTATCCATCTGTAGCTTGCAAACAGAATTTATATGAGAAACTCATAAGGCCATAAGTGTTAGTTTTATTATTAGCTGATAAGACTCATTCAGATACAAAAGATGGGATTGTAGTGTGATCACCAATCTAATAGAATGGCCTGCATGCCGATAGCTCATCAGTTGTTCTTAACCTTGAATGCGCATTAGAAATCACCCAGGAAGATCTGAAATAGAGATGTTTGGACTCCACCTTCTGATGGATTTGATTGATGACTCTAATGTGTAGCTAGGGCCAGGAGCCAGAAATTAAACTTACATGAACTTAATTTGGGAACTTTTCTTGCACTGTTGTGTTGCCTCATTTAGACATACAAGGAGGCTTGCTTACTTTAGTCATCCCACAGTTACCAGTGGTTGTGACCAAAAAAAAAAAAAAAAAAAAAAAACTCACTGCCATCAAGTCGTTTCCAACTCATAGCGACCCCCATTGGATTTCTGAGGCAATAAATCTTTATGGAAGTACA